ACGTGTGTACCCCCTGCCATGGCCACAGAGCCATTGGATGACCCAGAGACGGAGCTGCCAGCACTGAGGAGTGGCGGCATTGGGGACTGGGAGAGGCAGGCAAGGATGGAAACTTGCAAAGCACAGGCACCTGCATTGCTCATCAGAGTCTGACATGATGAGCTGAGGCAGGAGTATTTTTGTAAAACAAGCTAGTGTCCAGAACTCAAAGATGAAGGAGTAGATGAAGGAGCGGCAGCCTGCTCCCTAGGAGCTGCCATTAAGGGGCTCCCCAGCCTCCTCTCTGGCCTGCCTACCTGAAGTGCGATTGGCAATTTGGAAGCCACAAAACCGTGGGTGACCAGCCTGTTTTGTTATTGGGTTGAGGGAGGCAGCCACCTGGGCTCTCAGCTCAGTTGTCCTCCACCTGCCATTTTCTTCACTTCACCAGTTTGCCTCCTGACACCCCAGGACCCTCAAGAAGCCAAGAAGCCAAGAAGCCAAGTCTCTGGTCTTTTTTGTAGAAAGTGAAAACTTATTGAATGATGCTTCAGCAAACAAGACAATCATTTAAATGCTTACGCTTGTTTTAAAAAAATACCAGCACCTTGCAAGTTTATATTCCAAAAGTTGATGCTTAGTTGAAATGGGTATGGCAACGAAAGAACAGCCAGGGGGCTTTAACAAGCCCTAGACAGGCTTCGAAGATCTCATAGAATAAGCAAAACCCTCGCTAAGGAGACAGTTTTTCTCCTGTGACTTTGATATTTGAGCAAGACCCTTAAATCTCAGCCCCCAGTGTGTAGGGACTGCCTAGGCAGCATGTAATGTTCCCCGTGTTATGCAATCTTTTATTTTCTCTTTTCCCCCTCTCTCTCCTACACACCCCTTTTGAGGATTAGTAGGCTAAGCTCTCCCACCCCCCAGGCTTTAGGCCCCTCCTTTGAGGGTCCCCTGAGCTAAAGGCAAACATGACTTTCCTCTTGGTATGGAGACGGGCCTGGAGCCTTCTTCCCTCCACACCCGAAAACCACCCCTGCCAGGTCAGGCGCCCTTTTATCAGGGAACTTCTCTGCCCAAAACCCGCGCGAGCCCTGTTGTCCTCAGCATCTCACGCCGCAGCAGATTCACGGTCACTTCTCGTTTGGCAGCCCTAAACCACGCGGTCTGTGTTCCTTGATTGTTTGTCCTGCGCGAGAGGGGGCAGCGGGCACTATCAAGTCCTTTCTTCTCTGGGAAGCTGTTCGTGACCCCCTCCCGGCTGGGTTTAGGAGTCCTGGGGTCCCGCGCTCGGTTGTAGGTGCCCGAGCCAGACTGCAAGCTGATGGGACAAGGGGGTGCCCAGAGTGTCCCAGCCTCCACAAACGCGTTAAACGACTTGAGTTAACCAGAGGCAGGGAGTGTCGCCCCCGTCTCGGTGCATCAGTCTCAAGGTCCCAGCCCCGGGGCTGAGCACATCACGCGAATAAGTCCCCGGCCTGGTGGAGATAGAGAATGCCCCTCGTGGTCTCCAGCAAAGAAAGGGTTAAGCTACCCATTCCCCACCCCCCAAAAAAGGCGAGGGGAAGAGTCCGGCAGAAGGTCCTGTTTACCATAGCTGCGAGAGTCCGCGCGGCCCTGGGAGAGGCGTTGCCGTGGCAACGGGCCGGGCGC